CCTAACATTACCGTGAACGGTATAATATGGCCCAGCCCTACCTGACAGGCCAGTTCTTAGACGTATTTAACATTTTGTTAGTATTCAGTGCCATTTCAGCCCCCTGACCTATAATAAGTATAATAAGTAATACAGTAATACTAGGTGCTGGAGTTTCTTTGGCTAAACAAACCTTTCTTACATTCTTGTTTGTGCCGGCCTGCTGGATAACATACTTGTGCACTGTGCAAATATTCAAGAAATCTCATTAGACCATCCTCTACTCTCAAATCCTCAGAAGAAGGCCTGTTCCCCCGGCACCACATATACACATACACATAAAGTAAGACATGTACACCGTGTCACCTCCCCGGCTGGCATAATAAAAGATTTGGCATGACGGCTGCATAAGCGTGTGAATGGACTGGTAGCAGGACTGGGAGGCATCAGTAGCTGGAAAACAAAAACAAATGCACTCAGTAATTAGTGAGAGGATTGGTTGACAGAGGATGACGCAGTCCTCTCACACTAGTCCCATATCTGTAAATATACTATGTGTGTATTTCAGAGATATTTCTTTCTCTGTTACACGTGTGTGTGTGTGTGTGTGTGTGTGTGTGTGTGTGTGTGTGTGTGTGTGTGTGTGTGTGTGTGTGTGTGTGTGTTGCACTACGATGCAGTGGTCTATTTTTAGGCCGAATGTAATTTTGTGGAACAGACTGTGGTCCCTGCTGCACAGTAGCACTCTGTCTTGTAGGTGTGTGACTGAGAGTCAAACCAGCTATTTGCTATTTTAATGGTACACAATCAGACAACCAAAATGCCAAGAGACGTCCCTCTGAGACCCGAGGGCTACCGGCTCCATTCCCTAGCCAGATGAGAAATATCTGGGAGGGTAAGGTAATTAAACATGGGTTGTGATTCCTTCTCCCTTTAGAAAGATGCCTGAGCAATACCAGTACGATGAATCAAATCAGTTGTAAAGAATAACAAACAAGAGTCAAGCCGGGTTAACTTAACCCTTAGATGATCTTTAAAAAATTAATTAATTTTAATTTTTTGACCTGTAAACACTGTCCAAAATAAGCATCTCTATATAAGCCTGCAGTTCCTCTGTGTCCACATAAGCCACCGAGTGTTTCCCATGCATGTCTGTCATGGCCACAATTTGCTGGAGGATTTCATCCATCAGCAGCAGTGCATAGCTGGTGGCTCCGTTTGTGGGAGACCAAAATATGGAGATGGAGAAGTTCATCCTGTCACTGCTTCAACCATCTCCTCTCCAGTCTCACATTCAGATGAGTCAGAGCTGGTCTGAGGCCTTCTCCATGTCAGCCTCCAAGTCCTCTGAGGAGGATGAGGCACCATCTTCACACTCATAGTGCATGATCATTTCAAGAGCCTCCAAAATGACTGCTCATACTTCTAATCATGGCTGCAGTGTAGCTGCATAAATTACTTAAGCAAGAACCAAAATGAAGTCCAATTTTGTTTTGATTCTTGCTACTGAGACACCTTTGACACACACGCACGCACGCACGCACACACTTCAGCAGCTGAGTTGAGTTCCCTACTGAAAAGAGACACGTTGCAGAGAAGTTGTGAGCCATCAGCACAGACTGACTTAAACTGCCTGCAATCTGTTGCCAATCTCTCTGTGTTTATAAATTAGGCAGCAATTAAAACATAATGAAAATACAAATTTTACCTTTGAGTCACATATTAGCTTGACAAACGCTATATAGTTCAGCTTCAGAGGATATAATGCGTTTCCTGCATCTCAATGTAATCATCAGGTCTGTTAGCTGCACTTCCATCACAGTAAGATATAAAATGATTTTTTCTAATTTCAAGAATTTTCTTTATACCCAAATTAAAAATATACTCTTAAAATTGCACTAAGCTTCAATCTGGATCAGCTCTCTGTTCTAAGACCCTTCTACACAATGAGTGCTGTCATACGCCTATTCATCTAAAAATAAATCATCTTGACTTTTAGCTTCACATGGAATTTGAACAATGTCTCCCAGGTGATAGCCCTCTAAACTATCCTACATTAGTCAGCCATTTTGATCGAAGCAGATCTGTGACTGCCAAACTCTCCTGTCAAACCTAAAGACCTAAAGATTACCTAAAGTAATTTACATCTATTTTACAATCAGGACAATCAGTGTTGCTAACACTACAGTCATGCCACCAATTACTTTGACTTTTTCCTTTTTTCTTGTTGTTTCCCCCTTAATGCAGGAACTCAAATATGTGTTTAGTCCGTAACAGAACAGCTCTTTACTCTGCAGCGTTCTCTGTTCTATTATGTGTTGGTTTTAATGCTCAAAGAAGCACCTGAAGAGCAGAGTTACTTTCAAAAGTGAGGCAGCGAATTAATGAGGCATATAAAGGCAAAACAATTCATAAGAGGATACTGGGAGCCAACAGAAATGTCTAAATGACACGGACTTTGATAAATCCCAAAGAAGTTAGTTGTGAACACAACATCACTAAATATGCAGCCAGTGAACACAAGTGCTTACAGGAGAACGGCGAGACACAGCTCATGGGGAAAGTGGGACGTCTCACTGCTTCTCTGATGTTTTGTCAGAGGCGGAAGAGATGTGACTTACTCAAAATACGGATTCATTTTAAGATTGTGCGCAAAGCAAGGGGGGTAGGAATGACTCATTCTTCCTCTGAGAAAAAGATTCTTTTGTTAAGAGTTTTTCTTTTAAGAATAAGGCTCCTGTGCCATTTCCCGGCTGCTTAGTGGCAGGGGTGATGAGCCAGAGCACCTGGGAGAGCTGCAGACCAGAAAAACACTGGGTGTGGGAATGGTGATGGGGCTTTGTGATGGATATCCTGTCATCTCTGTACCGTACACGATGACACATGTTCAATCTTGGTCCCGAGGCACCTGTTGATAGGGCAGGATGAGATTTCACGCCACCGTGGAGCTGCATACATGTGTGAGTATAAACCAAGTGTAAGATTTATACTGAAAAAAGTGGCATGGACATCTTTATGGTGTACTAAACCAGATGACAAGGGATGTATCCTGCATGAGATCTGCATTTGGAAGATCAAATTGGAATTCATTAGCACTGTCTGTGCTGATTTGCTTCAAGTATTTTGTAATTTTGCAAGCAAATTGCCCGAGCCAAGGACGACCAAAAACAAGGTTAAACAGTCAAAAGAAAAGTGCTTTCTCCAATACAAAAAAACCCAAACCAAATAAGCTCCAATAGAAGAAAAAGGGGGAAGAGGGGGGATATGAAAACAGACCAAATCTATTTTTCATTGATGTAGTATAGTGGTAATACAATATACTGGAAGGAATGTGGAATCAACTATATACCATAAATAACTTACAAAAGGAGTAATCCTAATCACAATGAAGCCTGCTGTAATACTGAGTTGACTAAATCAAATGTCTGAATCTACACAGTCAATTTTTAGCATAAAAATAAGGTTGTGAAGGCTGATATTACATCTCCATAGACTTCAATGTTTAAATATGCACATTTACAGAAGAACAAAACACATTTGCATCTTTGCACCTTGCATCCAGTTTTATTAAGTGTAATTCTAGCATTCAACTTCTATGTTACATAGAAACATACCTAATCTTGCTAACCAGCAGACAACTTTGCACTTAATCATGGTGCAAACCTACAACCTCTACCTCCATTTCAAACTACACCTCAGGTCTAAATCCCTGCATGGCCATAATAGAGTTTGATCAGCTGCAAAAAGCTTTTAATTTCCATTTTCTCATCCTCATCCATCATTCCGTTTTGCTGTGAGTCAGCTGAAAATTGCTGCTAATCAGGTCAGTCACTGGCCACAAATAATGTTTTCCCCCCACTAGCCCAGGCTGCTGTGATCATTCTCGGGGCTAGCCATGGATAACCAGCACTCATCTCTTGACTGATTCTAAAGAATGGATTTCTCCTGTACCACAGACTAAAAAGACATCTCTGTCTGTTTGTCATGCCTCACTGTGTTCAGTGGTTGTACCTGTGTTTGTTGGTATATTCAGATATTAGCATCGTTTTCTTGTTTAATGATCATTTTAAGCCTTTGCACTGGTGAATTAATGGAGTGATTTTCTTCATTAACAAGCTGCAGAGAACATCGTAGGTTTATTACAGAGCTAACAGACCTTTATTGATGGCTCACGTACTACTTGGCTTTTCAGTGCAGTGCATTTAACACAAAACTGATTGTGGATGTTAAAATGGTAAATGGCCTGTATTTGTATAGCGCTTTACTCGTCCCTAAGGACCCCAAAGCGCTTTACACATTCAGTCACACATACATTCACACACTGGTGATGGCAAGCTACATTGTAGCCACAGCCACCCTGGGGCGCACTGACAGAGGCGAGGCTGCCGGACACTGGCGCCACCGGGTCCTCTGACCACCACCAGTAGGCAAACGGGTGAAGTGTCTTGCCCAAGGACACAACGACCGAGACTGTCCAAGCCGGGGCTCGAACCGGCAACCTTAACTAACTGAAGACTCCAGTACTGCCAATGCAACCCCTACTACTACTTGATTCATATGCTTTAACTCTCACAAAACAGGACAAAGACATGAAGCCTCATAATTGCTAAAGATTTCACAAGGCAATCCTCTCTGTTGCTGCTTGAAAATATTCTAACTACCGCACAAAAATGTAGGAGACAAAACTCAAAGACCAAAAAGCCTGGATGGTCACCCTTTAATAGCATAAAACCAGTCCACAACGAATCAAGAAAGGACATTGTTTGAAAGCGACAAATGTGGAACTAACACACAAACACACATATATACAGGTAAAGACTGAAACCACAGACTAACCTTGGAGGCTGACGTGTCCACAGTGGAAGAGGTGATGGCAGTAGAGGCTTCGCTGACGGTGGTACTGGAGAGCTGCTCACCCGCAGGTTTTGACATCATTCGAGTACCCTGCGGCCTGCACGCACACACATACAGAAAACGTCACTATACATAACCGGGAGGACTCGAAGAAGTAGTGAAGTGTAACCACACCTCTGATTTAGCCGTTACACATTCCCCAAGTTGTTACTGCAGCACTGACATCTGTACATTGTCTCACATTTTTCTATTATGGGCTGGCATATAAGGCAGACTGTTAGGGAGCAAATAAACATTGTATGTATACTAAAAGTGCTGCTGGAGTTTCGTTCACCTAAACTCAGGGTTGAGACTGCCCAAAGTGCCTGTTTTCCAGTTGTTTTTTCGACTCTTAGATTTTGAGGGATATCATTAGTGGAAGCACCCCACACTTGTGGTTCAAACATTCTATTTGCAAAGAGCAGAGAGAAGATCTGGATAAAAAATATGGAGCATATAAATACATAATTGTTATTAATGTGTTTATATGGGACTCTAAATTAGGTTCACTTTGTGTTTCAAGAGCACCTGCAGGGTTTTTGTTGAGGAAAATAATTAAATCTGATGTCTTACACCTTAAGGCATCCTGCTATTCTTGACGTTCCGATTTTCCCAGTGTGTGATTTGGAGTCTATCAGAGCTGCTTCGGAAAGACTCAAGTATGCAAATATGTAAAACACATAACGCGATAAGGAGGCAAGGGTGGATTCTGTGAACTGGAAAAGTGTGCTTGGGGACTGTTTCAGGTTGTCATACAGGCCAGTGACAGATTGAGAGCATGCATGTGTGTAAAGAAAACACCAAACATCTGACGAAGGCAGCTCAATGACCTGAAGACAGACTGTCCTAAATTTTTCATTATTCTCACCGTACACACCTTGGAGGGAAATGAATAAAACTCCTTCCACAGTGTGTGCGTGTTCACACAAGATCCATTTTCCTTTTGTACCTTCAGGTCAGCCAAGACCTATTTCCTTACATGACCTTTTCAGAAGAGAAAGCGGTTACCAAACTCGCAATGCAGACAGAACAGAAGAGTGTGCACAAAGCACTGGGTTGTGTAACTGTTTACTGAATGTAAATTAGCACCATTACGCCTTATTCCAAAAGGATGTCAGACACAGCAGTCCCAAATTTGAGACTGAGGACTATTACGTCACCATCAAACAAAAATAGCAAACTTTTTTTCATTGTTCTGATGTTTTATATCCAAGAACAATTTTTCAGTTCAGAATCTTTTATGTTTTTGAAACTGTTTTGACACAATATTAATTTAATGACATTAAGCTTTTTCTATTTATAAAATATGCGAGGGAAGTTAGTGAAAGAAAATTCGCTCTAACCACTGTTAAATGTCCACCTGAACAGCCTCTCTGACATGTTGTCACCATTTCAAGTTCTATTTCTGCTGGAATTTGAATTATTAATACATCTTGAGTATTTTATATTTTTTTCAGTTCTTTTTTTCATAAACACACATTTAAAAAGCATGTTTCTTTTACATTGACTACCATGTAATTTAAGATTATTACCAGCTTCCATAATGATTTCATAAAGAAAGATATAAGTTTTCCAGCCTACTGAATACCATGTAGCTTTTATTCAAGCTGTTATTATGACTTATTAATTATCTGTCAAACGCAACGGTTCAAGAAGGAAGTAACGTGGAGCATGGCATCTCAACAGACAGTAACACGATAGCTAACGGACGGCCAAGAACTGGATAATCCTTTGGCAGCTGTGAATGAGACTCAAAGTACACACAACAAAGTACTCAGGGTTTGGTAAAGTCTTTTTCACATTACAGCACTTTGGTTTCAGGAAGCACACTCTACCTTGAAGAACAGGAAAACAAAACAAAACATGGCAATCTACAGACTTTGAAAAACTCTGCAAAAATGGTTCAGAAACCGCTATGAGTTCAGGTTTTCAAACCTTATTTCACAAGCTTCTGCTTGTAAGAGTTGTGGATTGATTTATTCACACAGCTCACAGTGATATCCACCCGACTCCATCGCAAACAGATGTAATAACCTGCAATAATAGCATTTTAAAACGTCTCTTTGTCTGCAGTCTTTTTTCGTGCTGCTTTTTTCTTTTATTTCACCTGAACCTTCAGGAAGAGCCAGAGCAGGAATTACTGGAGTCGTGTTCTTATTTGTTTTTTAGATAAGCAGCCTGATGTATACATTTTATTTATTTGTTTGTTTGTTTGTTTGTTTGTGTGTTTTTTGGCCATCTCATTTCACTTGTACTTTACACTTGTACTTGAACTATTTTTAAAGCAACCTTGGACGCATTAAAATGACTGAATCTAAGAATGTTTTGGCAGTTTTAGACATATCACCTTCACTGTGTTCCTGTTAGAAGCCTGAGGCACTGATGAATTACAAATGTTGTGAGTGCCTATCGTCCACATTTGTTTATATGAGCCTCAAATATGTTATCAGGCTAAATGTCCAGCAAATTGGAGTTGTGACTGCTTCTGATATTTAGATGTTCCTGATTTTAAAGTGATTTATGAAGACCAGTGATTGTCCCACAGTGCTAATTATGTGCCTGCCTGTAGAAAGATTCCCTCTCTTCCCTCACATTTTTGGGGAAGCCAAATGGCGCTCAATACACATCCTAAAATCACTTTTACAGTCACTCAAGAGTCACTGCAGTCCTCTTAAAGATTTATCCTCTAAACGATCGGCTACAGACACTTTTTCCTGCCTACAGACCTTCTGCTGTCCTCGGTCGCAGCTGTTTGTCTACGATTTTACATATTCCACATGTAACCTTGTAGGCTACCAACATTTATGTGTGTATACTTTTAAAACCAAAGTACACACAAACAACTGAGGAAACAAAATGAGCCTCCCTGCATGTGGTCTTCACCGAATATCTATTTGCATGATGGCACAATCACTATTGCTGCTGTCTTTTTGTGGCAAGACAGATGAGACTTTCTGTGCTGTATTTTTTATATTCAGTGGAATAACACCAGGCACAGTAAGTGTCTGTATCTGTCTGATTAGTTTCAAAAGAGAGAACAATGGTAATATAATACATTCTTTCATCCAAGAAAATTACTAAGTGTTACATTTCTTTCCGACTCCATCTTTCTCAAATAAATCCATAGTTTTATTCCTCTGAGCACATTTTCGTGTCTTGGATGCGTCCCTCTTGGTAAAAGACTTATTAAAGGAAAAATGCTTTGATTATGTCTGATTTGAAAATATTTCCAGAATGAAACAAATATTGGTTTTGATACTACGTTATTTTTGTTGTTTATCTAAAGTATATTTTATCTGTTGTGCTCATCTTCTCTGTATTTCACTTTTCTTTTTTCCCCCCCAATAAAAACACTGATCTCGCTCCCAGCTCTGCTCTCCACGTTACAGGCTGAGCTGTAACGCACCAACACAGCCAACAGTTTCTGAACATCACTAAATTTCTTTCCCACATATGCATAATGGCTTTGAATGTTGTGTCAGTGGGTTCGCAGAATCTGTTTTTATTCCCCTGTCAAGAGAATTTCATGGAAACTTTTTAAAGGTCACGAACCCTAAAATAAAAATGAGTTGCATTTTCATCTGAATTCAAGTGAGAAACAAAAAGTATTCAGTGGAGTAATTGTAAGCAACTGAAGTTATAAAACATCTGGGGAAGTCACTGTTCTTTAATTAAAAGCTAATACTGGGCAGAATTGAAAAGCTCCCGTGATAAAAGCACGAACTGGTTTTTGTGCAGTAAAATTAAACCATCATATTTGCATCTAAACAAGAGTTTTCTTGTTTATTTATACTTGCAGGCTCACAACGTGTGTGTATTTTGAAATCACACATAATACTTCAGAGTGATATTGTCAAATTTTGTCAGATTTAATTCTGTTTTTCTGAAACAGAAGGAAGATCAGCAGAGGATTGGAAAACACGCAAAGCCAGATGGTAAGATGAAATAAAAGACCAGACTAATTAGAGCACAACTTTACTTCCTTTCTGTGTCATAAAGAACAGATTTTAGCATCTGTGACCTGTACTACTCTGAAGATAGAAAAAAACAAACAAACACAAAGATCAGAAATGAGCACCTGAAACTCAAGGTCTATTTCTGCTGGAATTTGAATTATTAATACATCTTGAGTATTTTAGATTTTTTTCAGTTCTTTTTTTCATAAACACACATTTAAAAAGCATGT